CCCCGGCGGACAAGCTGCGGCCGGAGAAGTTGGGGGGCTTTAACCTTTTTTTTTTCCCCTCCTTTAAGTCATTGGAAAGCTCATTTCCTGAAAGGTGGACGTTAAATTATTAACGTGTACCGAAAGAATACAGCTGTGTTGTGCTGTAGCGTGTGGTTTCATCTTGTCATCAGCAGAGTATGCTTTATTAACGGTTTTAGTTGATGAACCTCGATATCTGGCAAAATTGCTCATTTATGCAGTAAATGTTATTTATGACTTCAAATTTGTAACGCTTCTCTCCTTACAGTAAGGCTTTAGTGAGAGTTGTAACTTTAACTATAAAGCACACGGTGATGCTCTTATCTGTGTTTATAAGGTCTTTTAAATTTGATTTTGGGTGAACTTAAGTATTCTTACACGTGCATGTTGAATGTCCCAATTATATGCCCGTTGACACTTAGTGCAAATACAACGAAATATTTTTGTCTTGTAGCATCCAGCCCCACCTCAGATCTTCTGTTCCAACTGATTTCCTAACATCCACTATGCGGGCAACATCACACCAGAAACAAAAGTTCCTAGTTATGAGGGGTCAGGTAAGCAGACATTTTTACAATATTGTGCAGTTATGCAAAGTTATTAAAACTGGAGTTTATATTCGATGGTATATAAGACAACTCTGCAAAACCACACAATATTGATAAAATCAAAACCAAGAAACCCTACTTACCTGACCCCTATCCCCTCCCGCTCTCCTCTGTGATAAATCAATGCAAGTGTACTTGGCTGACAGGAGGAATCTATCTCTGGTCGTCTGAAGTTTGGGCAGACTCGTAATGGCTTTTTGTTGCCCTTGTGGACCACCGGGGAGGGGGAGGAAGAAAGCCCCTTCTCACAAAGTTTTTACTTGCATGAATGGTTCCGTTGAAGCCAAGGTTATTTGTGCAAGTAAAAGTTGTGTAATGTAGCTGAGAGCAGGCAGCACTCGCTTGTCCTGGAAATCATAAATTTGAATGTGCTTGACAGCACCAGCTGTAGAATTCAAATTCAGTTTTGTGATGTATAGGAAAGAAGGTGCTAAATAGAAACAATAATTGATTCTGGCATTGAGCTCCAAAACTTGTTCGCATATGTGTCAGAGTAGTTTTGTGTAGTATTCGGTGGTTGATCTAAAACTAAATTGGGTGAATGTGTACTGCAAGATATTTGTCGGCAGGTCTGTTCTCCGGGTTCCAAACCTGCTGGAAGGAAAAGAGGACACTGAGGGAGGCAGGTGGATCACCCTGCTTACGGTGCAAATCAGTGTCGTCGTGGGTTTTAACACCTCTTTGCAAAGAGATTAAGATGTTGCAGGCCGTAATAAAAGTACGGCCTTGGAAATGAACATGGCATGTGTAAGCATGTGTTCCGGAGAACTGCTGTAGTTAGGGGGAATAGAGAGTACAGTCTGTTACAACCTGCAAAAATGTGTAGAAGCTTGGGAAAGGATTCCAGCATGAGGTTGCTCTAGCAGTTTAGAGAAGGAAAAAATCAGCGTGTAATCTCTCAGAAATTGTTCCTGTAGATGTGTAGATGGGGAAAAATTGACAGTCACTTACCTACTCGGAACAGTACGTGGGTTTGTACACCTCCACAGACAAACGAACTTTTAGGTATGGCCCATGAAATGTGGCACCTGAAGTTTGGCAGTGTTTGCTTAGGAAATCAGACAAAACTGCAACACTAACCTTGTTTCGTAACACAGTTGTTACCGTGATAGCAAAGCTAACTATGTGACTTACTAGTGATATTTTTATTTCAGAGCACAAAGTAATCATTGTTGGCCTGGATAATGCAGGAAAAACGACCATTCTTTATCAATTGTAAGTATGAACTGCACATGATGTTTCGTGTATTTCGAGGTGTGCATTGTATCTATTACTCTGACTTCTTGTCGCTGCTTTCCCTGTTAGTTTGTACTTGGAGAGCGTTTTGCAGAAGATTACTGAACAGTATAGGTGGCAGAGGGTCGAAGCGTGTGTTTAGAGTTTGGAACGGTCTGTATTTTGCCTGGTATATGAGTAAGGATTTGTTCAGAGCTTTTATTTATCAGATTACATTGCTATTACCATGGAATCACAACTGCCTTTGGTGTCACTGTGTAGGCTGTTTGCCAACTCCATACGATATGATTATGTTCAGGTTTAGCCACAGGACAATGCTGCTGAACTGACCCATGCCGCAGCCTGTAAATACTAAACAAATAGTTCTGTGAGTAGCAGAGCAGCAAAGCCTGACCTCTCCCTGCCATGGCTTGTGTCTTCTGTACCAAGGTGTGCTTTCATGTCGGTTGTGGCACGGGATGAAGGAGGCAGGCTGAGTGCTGGCTGAAGCCCGGACAGCACGGCTCTGTGGGGGGTGGCAGCCCGCGCTGCCTGGCCTGGGCTTTCTTTGAGCCACCAGCGTTGGTAGCTGTCATGCAGCTTCTGCCTTTAATAGTGGCATTGACTTGAGTTTGTCTTGCGTTAACCTTGCCGCTGGTTTGCATGACATTTGTATGAGCTTCGCATCTCTGGTCCTCAACTGCATTTTGATAAGAGGGTACAAAATTTGTTCACAGGCTCAGAAGCTTCTAGGTGGGACAGGTGATTCAAGGTCTTTTTATAACAGAAACAGATGTGCCATTTCTCATGTGAAGTAGTCTGGTATTAGGAAGTATTCCTGAGTCAGTATTAGAAATAATTCCTGTTAAGTGATATGACCATACCGGTCCAATCCTACACTTAAAATATGCTTTCTTAAAATGTTTGGGTTTTGTCAAATTACGATCTGCTTTTGCCTTCCTGAAACGTGAAACTCGAGCAGCGTTTCCAGCCACTTATGCCCTAGCACACGCTGCAGAGAAAGCGAAAAGGTGAAGGTGGTTGTCATTATTTAAATTGGGAGTGAGATATTTTAAAAGCATAAACAGAATTAAGAATATTTTTTTAAGGCTAGTAACTGCTGCAGCTGAGGGCTGTCCTCTCTGCATTTTAATGTCTTTCCACTTCCTCCACAAGTGTCTCATGATTCTTCTCATCTTCTTCTTTCTGCAGTTTCAGTGTTTTGTTTTCCCTTTTGTACAGTGGATCGCTATATGCCCCCTTTTCCTTTATACCCGTTTTAGCTCCGCAGGACTTCCCCTTCTCTCTTCTTGTATTGCCCTTCCCCGGTTTGCCGCTTTGACAGAGCTCTCTGTAAGCGCCGTCCTCTGTTCCTCCTGCTCGACTCCTCCTTAAACCCTACCTCCATCTGTGCGTATCCCGTTTTTTCTCTTACCGTTTCTTCGTGGCAGATAAGTGTTCCGAGCATAAATGAACATGTTTAACTCTTTTCGTAAGAGATGGACGGAGATAACTAGCAGGACAACTAGTGTTGGTTAGTGCATGGGCTGTTATGTTGATGTCATGGAGGGTCACAGCAGACGTTGGGGTGGTGATTCTTCTAACAGATCGTGTCAGCTCCACAGACACTTCGTTTCTTCCCGTTCTTGTACTCAGATCTCCTCCCTCCCCTCAGGTAGCAGTAGGATTTTGTGATCAGGTGTCTAGAAATGCCACTAAGGTTCACGCTCACCTCGTTCCAGTGGGGAGGAGGGAAAAATCCATTTATTGTACGGCGAACTGCGAGATGCCAACAGCTGGAATGTGAAAGGCTGCAGGCTCAGTCAAGGAAAGCGGATTCACGATACATCTCTTCCAAGCATTAAAAAACTCTACTAAAACCTTTTTCTTAAATATAAGAAGATGCCTGTGGCTGATTTCATATCATTATTGTCCTTAATTTGATTTCGTGGTTCGTTCTTCTAATCCTTCTCTTTCCCTTATATAGTTGGCTTAAAATGTGTGTGGTGAGAAAGTGCCTGGTTATGTGCTGCTAAGACACCGGGTAACGGGGATTCCTTTTCAGAACACTGGACCGTCCCTTTATCTCCTTGGTTCTCTGTATCCTCTTCAAGGAATATTCCAGCACTGTTCAAAGTGTCAAATTGCTATGAGTGTAACCAAAAGCTCTGCTAAAGCGTCAAAAAAATGTTCATACAAAAAAAAAAATCAAGATTATCAGAAGAATAAAATACTTAAGTTCTTTAAAAATGGTTGACATTTTCCTTGAAGCTACTTTTAATTTTTTTCTATATCCCGTACAGGACAGTTTAAATAATTGGAACTTTAGGAGTATCCAGAGTACACATCTAGTTATCACTACTGATGTGAAACTGGTGATCTTAGCGACAAAGTTGCACTCAGTATCTCTAAAACAATATATTTGAAATATTTAATGTCCGCGTTGCTCTTCAAAAAGTAGTGTTATTGGAGTGTGATGAAGGGAGAAGAGAAGGAAGTTTGGATATAAAGCAACTGAATTGTGAAGAAAGTAGGCTCTTAGTGGCCTGTACTGGAAGGAGGGTGAGATGTAGTATGTTTGGCGGAGCTGGACGATGAGTTATTGTTTTTCTGCAACCTTGGAAATCTTGTGGCTTAACCACATTCTTGAAGCAAAACAACTGCTCTCTCCCATGCGTGCCAGAATCAACCAGGGAAAAAGAAGAGCTGACTGTTTAAAACAGCTTTTGAAGCAAATATTCTCTCAGCTTTATGATTTAATTAATTAATACAGTTTTGTTCATGAATGCTCTCTCAGCTCTATAGTTCCATTATTACGTAGTTCACCGAGTCCTTTTTTTATTGCTATTTTTATTTATTTTTATTTGCTTCCACCGTCAAACCTTGTCTCTGTTTGCTGCGTAAGGCGTGTTTGCTGTAATTCTCCCACTGAGCTTTCTACCTGGGAACAGCCACCAAGTTTAATTTTTATAGAAGTAGGTCAATTTGGAGTCTTAAGATGCTCGATAACGCAGGTAGCTTGCCGGTTTTTGCAGTTTCTCACCGAGTCGCTCTCTTCCCTCTGCAGCTCCATGAACGAAGTGGTGCATACCTCACCCACCATAGGGAGTAACGTGGAAGAGATCGTGGTTAACAACACGCGCTTCCTGATGTGGGATATCGGAGGGCAGGAGTCTCTTCGGTCCTCGTGGAACACCTACTATACAAACACGGAGGTGAGAGCGAACGCCTTGCTGGAAGACTTGCTGGTGAAGGGAATGCAGCGTTACCTGCCGCCTGTCCCAGACACGCTTCTGGAGGGCTTGTATTAACTGTGCTTTGAATGTTACTCTAGCTACTTCAGGGTACTCCTGGTTTGATTTTTGAAGTCTTCTCCTTTGCAAGGTGCAATACGACTCGCTCTTATATTTCTTGTGTAAGATGTGTAATGCAGAGTTGCAATTAAAACCAACTTGTTTGTAAGGATTCGGTGTCTGGGGATCCGCGGCCTTAGGGCAGGTGCTCGGTTTGTCTTGGTATTGCGGATCCCTGTGTTTACAGGTCCCCTCTTGTGGACCGTGACCGCTCTGTCTCTGTAGCAGGTACTCTAAAACCTGCCTAACCCTTCAGGAGTAAGACTGAAAGCCCCAGAGTTTTCCTCCAAGACTGTGGGATCTCTGTCTTGCAAGCTCCCACGATCAATTTACTTAAGCACCCCCAAGAATTTTAAGAACTCTTTAGCAATGAAGTTGCAGCACATGTACTGAACTGGATTAAAATAGTGATTTGAGTCAATGTTTCCTATGTGTTACCAAATGTGGGTTTTAAACAAGAGGTTTTTTATAATAATTAACTTTGATCTGCTGTGCTTCCCTATAAGATGCCATGATGTGTATCTGCATGTATGCTCTTGAGGTATGGAGCTTATGGTTGTTTTTTTTTTAAAATCCCTTGCAAATACCTATTTGCATGTTAGTGCTTGAAGTAGAGGGAGAAAGCTGATACAGTTTACATTTAAGGCTGCAGCAGATTATTTGAGGGATCTGTGTGCTACCGCAGTTATATTAAACGGAGAACCAAAACACATCTGGGATTACAGCGAAACACTTGGTTCAATATAAATTTTTCACTTCAAAATGGAAATCAGAAAGTCAAAAGATGTGTCAGAGCTACTTCTGTATACAAACCACGGCATAAGTTGTAAACCATACCAACGCTGTGGGTAACCGCACTCTGGCTGGGAGAAGCCTGCCTGGAGTAGGGTGATACCTGGTAGTCCAGCTGACTGACTGGATAATGTGATGGGAACAGTGGTCTGTTCTGCTGACAGGTGTGTGGCCAGAAGGGTAGAGTTTGTTCTCTGACTAATAACTTTTTACTTTTTTAAGTTTGTGATAGTTGTTGTGGACAGCACAGACAGAGAGAGAATTTCTGTGACTAAAGAAGAACTGTATAAAATGTTAGCACATGAGGTGAGTAAACCCTATGTTTTCTTTGTTTTAATATTTACTGTGGGTGAGATCTGGATGATAGATGTTAAGGGAAGCAGATTGGCACACTGTTTGTCAAAGTTCTCACTTAGGCCTGCTAGCTGGAGACAGACCGGAGTGGAGAGAGGCCCCTCCAGTGAAGCCCAAGGCAAACATTAACAGCCACGTTCTCCCAGCTGCAGGTAGCACTCTGCCAGAGCTGTCTTGTTCCTGCTAAAGGCTCTGTCTTTTGTGAAGCTCGCAATAAAGCTGTAAATTAATACCAAATTACTGAAGAGAACTCCCTCAAAAGTAGCTTTTCAACTTCTGAGTGCTTCCGAGAAATAGAAGTTAGGACGTATAAATTACTTTTGTGGTTTTTATACTTCAATCAATGTTAATAGCTGAATGAGATCATTTAAAAAAAAAAACATTATTTCCTCCAACAGCTTAATTACTATTTTTGATAGCTTTGTGTTGCTTGATGTTTTCTGTTTTCACGGTGAAACAGATACAGCCTTAATAATATGTCTTATAGCAGCCAGCTATGAAACTGAAGAAACGCACTGCTTACGGTTATAGTAGCTGTCATTGTGTGTGCACGTGGAATTACAGAATGAGAGTATAATTTGCTAACTTGTAAAGACCCTCTTTAAAATTGAGCCCTGTGTCAGGTCTAAAACTGGACTATCTAGGTCTGATTCAGAAATACTGGACTGACGTGTAAGCCAGGGAGCACCTATTGCATGACCTGAATGTCCCAAAGACTTTCATCTAGCCGTGCAGTGCGGCAGGACCAAAGCCATGATTTTTAGCAAAGATGTGTTTAACTAAGCTTGACTACTGCTAGGACTCGTAAGACAAGTTTAATGCAACTGGATCAGTTTGTATGAGAAGACGCTGAGGACACTGAGCTTCCAGATTTAAGCATCAGAATACAAAGATGTGCATAAAATTGACAGCATTATATCCCAAAATATTACATCTATATGTAAACTATAGCCACTGTTTAGTAGATGACTGCAGGAAGGGCAAAGACTGCCTATGTATTTCCATTGAGTGATCATGGTCATCTAAAGCATATGAGAAACAACAAGCTCTTTGCCTCGTGTCTTGAATTTCTGATTTTTGGTGCTTAAATGAAAATTATGTTTAATAAAATACATTCTAATAAAGTAGGTCTGGCTTTCTTGGTTATGATGGAGTGTTAAATGTGGCACAGGGGGACTGTTGCCCTTGGGTCTGCTGCTGTCAGAATTTCAGAGATGTACTCTTCAGTCTGTTGCAGTTGCCAAACAAAATTGCATCTTCTCTTTCGTAATCTATAAAGGAAGATGCAGAAGTTGTGAACAAACTGAATTTGAAATGAGGGAACTCTGGAACTCCAAAGCAGCGTGAATGCCCTTGCTTCGTGTTGGGAGGCTATTTCTGTGCTCCAAAAGCACCCATCTAACAGTAAATGTGCCCATTGTTTTACAACAGGATGTTTTCAGTATATTCTGCTAACTCTCCAGGTGCTGTGATGTTTGAAGAGAACAACAATACATTTAAGCTGAAATGAAAGTCAGATATTTATTTAGAATAGCTTTTCCTTGCAGTCCTTGAAAAATCTTTTATTTCTGATAACCAGTTCAATTGAATTCTTATTAAGGCAAAATTTAGTTGCCCAGGTCAGTTCCAGCTATTTTCTGGACCAGTAGATCGTTTGGGAATTAATTTTACTGCTTGTAAAAACTAATGTGCTTGGTAGACATTTAAGTGAATGAGTTCGCTTGGCTTCCTGGGAAGACCTTTTTACTTACGGAGGGACAGATTTTTCAACAATATGTGCCCGTACTAGTGTAATTCCAAGCAGCTCGAGATAAAATAAGCTTGCCCTTAGAGTCGCTGTTCTCTAAAGTGTTAGTACTGATATTTTAAATCTTACATGGACCTTATAAAGAAGTTTATTGCCATGTGCTTGTTCATGTAGATGTCCATCCTTTGTTTCTAAAGCAGCGTAAGTGATGATTTTCTATAAATTCTGTGTACCCTCTAAATAAAATATTACTGCAGCTTGCTTTCCACTGTCAGTGGCAGTCTTAACGCTTCTTCATGGGTGGGATTTCCCTCGGTGCGCAGGCAGAGGATGCTTCTGGCTCCGGTGAGCCATGGTGCCAGGCTGGGTGCCAGCACGCGTGCTGCTGGTGCTTGTTGCAGTCAGGCTTGGCAAGGTTTTACCAGTCCTTAAAAAGTTCTGGTGGGGTAACCCACTGTTGCCCCGTGTAAGAACTGCTGCACAGTCTACTCATTTGGTACTAAAATCAATCTTAACAGTATGGTAAAAGTGTGGTATGTAGGTAACAGCCAGGCTCAGGAGAACGCAACGGTTGGTTTGGATACACAGGCAGGAACGACCTGTAAGGTCGGGGTTAAACAGGAGGCCTTGGCTCTTAGAGGTGTGCTCGAGGTTATTGCAGCTACATGCCCGCAGAGGTACAGGCTGCCTCAGATCCTCACGGAGCACAACAAAATGTTGTACCTAGTTTTACGGATCACCTTAAGGAAAAATGGGTCGTTTGGTCTGCTGGATCAAAGGGTTTTCTGAAGTTACATGACAACGAGCCTGCAGCATTTCACAGTGTAGGGTTTTTTGCTAGGGCTTAAGGTTCTCTGCTTTGGTATCACATCTTTTGTCTCTAAGGGCTGATTTGTAATCATCTTTTGTCTTTTCTCTCCCTAGGACTTAAAAAAAGCAGGTTTGCTGATCTTTGCTAACAAGCAAGATGTTAAAGAGTGTATGACTGTAGCTGAAATATCTCAGTTTCTGAAACTGACTTCCATTAAGGATCACCAGTGGCACATTCAGGCATGCTGTGCTCTAACTGGAGAGGGGTAAGAGTGATTCTTGTCTGTAGGAGGGGAACCTTGAATTATTTTGGTATTTTTATTGCGGTGCTTGGTTTTAACACACATATTTCCCTTGTCAATAATCATCTTACACTTAAAGATTTTTGGGCTCAGAACATGCTGACTTGGAGTCGGTGTGGTCTGAAAGCCACCTTTCACATCAATCTGCAGTCTCGTCTCACAGCGGTAAAACTTTGTATGATTTGGGCCTAATGAGGGCGGGGGCGGGAAAGACCTCAAATCTGTTCTGGTTTATTAAGAATAATCATAATTAGAGATAACTTCAGTGTATGTCTTGGAAGTGCTGGGGTCTGAAGTCCGTCACCCATAGATTGCATATTAAGATCTAGGAAATGCTGCGCTCGGGGTGAATTGTTTCTCAAAATGATTCCTTCAGTCAGAATTACAGAGTTCTTAGGAAGAATTTAAATTGGTGCCATGGAATTGTCTTCGAAGTTATTCTGTGAAGTGCATGTACTCCTTAAAAATTATCTCTTTTGTTTACAGACTGTGCCAAGGACTCGAATGGATGATGTCAAGACTTAAGATCAGATGATTTTTAATGACCTCTTTGCACAGACATTGTTTAAAAAGAGCTGTACCCATGATTACCTTCACAGTGGCAGAATTAATGGGTTAGATGTATTTATACGGAACTGATCTCAACTTTGTTTTCTACGTAGATGCACACACACATACGTGTATATAAATTAAGACCATTCAGCAAAAAGAAAGATGCAGTGGATGGCTCCAGTTTGGTTTCCAGTTTGTTTTCCTCCGAGGATGCGTTTAAAAGCTGTGATCAACCTTCTTTTCAAGATACAGCCACTCGGAACAGCCGAATGTTGAGCGTGGTGAAGATGAAGTGAGAGGAAGGAGCTTTTACTTTTGGGTTTTATTATTCCATTGTAGTCCTCTCTACTCGAAGGTGTTGGCTTCATTATTCCAGTAAATTAGCCAGCGAATCAAGGCATAGATATCAACTTTCCAGTATTTTTAAGGTTACCGATGTTACAAATGCAAAAATATTTTCCTGTATGTGTACTGTACATATTTGTGTATATTTATACCTCAATTTTAGGTTAATTGCAATCTGTTCAGACTAGTGTGTAAAGCTGAATCGGTATGTTGACAGTAGTACTAATATTTGACCTCGCCATCACGTCTCAACTTCTTTTCCTTTGTTATCTGTATGGCTGTAACATCCATCAGACAGTTGGCTCACCACAACTTTATAAAGCAAACTCTCTCTTAAGACCGTTGCTTGATTTTCACATGATTTTTCAGTTAGGGAGGATGCCATAATAGATTGGGGCATACGGATTAAGCTTCAAATTACAGCATCGGAGAACAGTAAAAATTTGCCAAAGAGTTTAAAATGAAACGGATTTTCTTTTTTTTTTTCTTTTTTTTTTTATTGTAGTCAGCATTGGATTAGGTGATTCCAAAAAGCACATGTCATGCTGTCCTACGGTACTGCTTTTCTTTCCTGGCAGTACTGTTCATTTATGATTCCAGTCTAGTAGAAGTACCTTTAGCTGCCATAAAGGGAAAAATGTAATTTTTTTTTTTTTTCTTAACCAAAGATGAGGCACAAAAGTACGTTTAAAAGTCCCACTGGAATCTTACAAAACAAGTCATACTCTGTATTAGGTGTTTTTCAGAGGAAGGCACATTTCTCCTTGATAGCATAAAATCTGTATATATATCTCTATAGGCAATGGATGGAACTGGGATGGGGAACAAAACAGATTACACTACTTGAAAAGCTGTAAGTGACCCCTTGATCGTGTTCCCACAGAAGTTCCAGGGCAGTACTTCTTGAAAATATAACTCCCTTGCATGGTCCCCAGGTGAGTTATAAAGAAGCGTCAGAACACTATGTGACTATCTTTTCTTACTGCAGTACCTAATGGGATGGACGTCCCGTACGGAAGTCGTTCAGAATGAGCGTTTTAAAGGATACAGGCTTTTCAGTGGGATGACAGTCGGATGGTTTGAAATGTCATCGGTATTGTGAAAGTGTACGTAGCCTTAATCATAGGCTTTTATGTCGGAGATGTATGTTTGGGGAGTGTAGCAGAATGAAATAAAACTTTGTTTAAAATGTCCTTCCCTTTCTTAGCTCGTACATCTGATAAGGACGGAAAAGACATTTTAAAGAAAAAGCGTCGTTTGAACTTGTTAAGGTGCTTATCTTTGGTTATGGGATAATCTAGTCAGCGCGCCTGCCTTCCCGTTTGCCTGCTTCCCGGGGGATCATGTTGTGAATTTGTGGGGAAAAGAAGGGAGGCAATTTCAAAAGTCTGTATTTAACAAAGGCAGGTAAAGAATTTAACTTTTTAATATATTTTTGGTATCTCTTTCTGATGCTGACTGGCTAGGGAATCTGCTGTCTTTGTTAAACGTTTTCATGTGTACATGCATATATTTATAGTGCATGGACATAGATATTGGTATTTAACTGGTGTATTGCAAAATGTATAAATGTTTGAAGAGATAACAATTTAATGCAAAGACTTTCTCAGTTTATCTGATAGTATCTTCAAGAAATGAGTTCTGTGCACACTTGCATATGAAATTGAATTGTACATTTTCTAGTCTTAAAAAAGAAAAAGCAGACTTGCTTATAAACCTGAGTGTTTGGTTTTTGAGTCTTATGTCTTCCCTACCTTCCCTTTAAGTATTTTGCTTTAGCATTGTTAAATGCTGCATATGGGATCTGCACAGGTTGTGAGTGTTGGGTTTTTGTTTTTAAGAAAACGAGTTGTTCCTGTTAATGGAAGAAAAATCATGGAGCAGTATTCTGGTATTTGCTCCTTGCTGCAATTTGCTTACTCCCTTGCTTAAATTTGTAGGACTTAGTACGTCCGTATAATGAAAGTGTGGTGTTTTTTTCCAGATGTGGCTTACGTTGCAACCAGAGGGATTATGTTTACACAAAAGTAAGCTTCCGTTTACTCCTTTTCCCTCTCAGTATCCTGGCCACTTCCACTTCCCACGACCTCTAAGATACTGCGTGGTTCGCTTCATCTTTGTTTCACAAGTGCAAGAGACCCTGGTAGGGAGTTGGGAATAACCATGCGTGAAGGCTGCTTGTTAAAACAATGTCTTTTGTGCCCTGAAGAGTCTGGAATCCAAAAATGAAATCGTTGTCTGTGTGTTGGATGGTGAGCAATCCAGCCTTAATCCGACTACACAAAAAGTGTGTCTCATGTCACGCACAACGATGAGTTTTCTGTCTATTTTCTGTTCCTGTAGTATTTTAGAGGGCAGATGTGCTCTTCAGTAGTGGCTTGTGCTTACTGATGCATCGCCTGCCCGTAGCATTCTTGAGTGGGGCTTGGGAATCAAAGGAAGACTCACCTTCATTTTAAATGCTGGATTTGCAGTCTCTATAAGGAGGATGGATTTTGTCTGTAGTAGCTGGGCAGCTCTTTGTCACCCTGTTGTAAACAGAGGTGATGATTCCAAATTCTCACCTTGCATGGTCGGTGTGATCGTGCTTTTAAGTGCAGCAACGTGTAGCGAAAGCAGAACGGTGTCATCCAGATGCTGCAGTGGAAGCTTTTGTAGGAGAGTTTGTCTGCCTGAAGGTTCTTCATGGGAACAAGGGTGCGTGCTCAGATGTTAACGAGATGAACGTTGGAAGAATATACAAGTATATACCCTCCTGGTAGCGTTGTGGCTGTGACATCCTTTCCCGTACACCCTGCCTTTTGTGTAAAGTTCGAAATGTTTTTAAATTTAGTCACCTAGCAGGGCTGGAAAGGAGCGGACAAACTTTTGAACACTGTATGTGCTTCTTGTTTACAGCTTTTTTTCTTTTCCCTGTAGGACAATTCACATTTTTCTCACAGCTCTGTCCGTAGAAAAACAAGTTAACTTTGCATCAATGCTGCTTTTGACTTCTCTGGGGTATTGTTTGGAAGTGATTGTCTTAACATGAGTCATGACCTTGATTTGTATTGCTTTTGTGCCTTCACCCTCTGTGTGTTGTGTTGCCTTGGCTTTCAGCTGGAGCTTGAGATTACTTTGCCTTTGTTCTTCATGAAATTCATTCTTAGGATATTTACAGAAAAAGGGAAGGGTCTTTAAAAATGGTTATTTAAGTTTATGCTGCAGAATGCCAGTTTACTAGCAAAAAAAAAATACAGCAGTAAGTCATATTTCAAGAATCTAATACTTAAAATGTTTCTTTTGGTTTAGCGGATAATAAACTTGGTAAATCATCTCTAAAATATGCTGCCTCTGCGATCTGAAAATGATGCAGGTTTTTAATTGTGAGGAAAGGTGGAATATAGAACTTGGAAAATGTGAACAAGGATGTACCTAGCTTCATTTTTAAAATTTTTAACTTTTTTTCCCATGAAGGTTTAACAGCTGGTTTCCTGTGCATTATATGAGTGTGTTCCTAGGTGTAGGTGTGCACGTGTGAATGTTAAACGTATCTGATGGGCACCTTCCACAGTCTATGCAGCTCAAGTGCCTAAAACTAATTCAGTCATCGTTTGTGTTTTTTTTTCCTATGTTACAATTTCCATTTTCCTTAAAAATAGATGTATTTCTATAAAAGCATCTAAATGTGTGTAAATAAGTGTTTGTTCCCCTCCCTACCCGCTGGTTTTAACATGATTTATGATAAATTTATTTGTTGCAGTTCTTTCCATCCTCTGCATTCCAAGCACTTTTCCGTTTACCAGAGATCACATAGCTAGCTCGCTTCCTGAAAGGAAAGAGTCAGTTTGTCCTTCTATCCGATTGGGTAGCTGGAATTCTTTTCAAGGAACTCTGTTTAAATAACTTAATCCAAGAATACTTGGTCTTGTAGACATCCTCATGTAAGTAGTTCCTTTTCAGTTGGCTAGTCAAACATTAGCTTTGCGACTGTCAGACTAATTATGTCTGAAGAATAGTTTTCGGTTAATTCAAATGAATGTAATATTAAGCCTTTAAATGGTGCATCATTGAGCATTACAGGACAGGAATGATTTGATGTCACGAGGAATGGCACTAAGAAAGAAAAATGTCTTTGCATATAGTTGTGATATATATGATAAATACAAATGTGACTTGAATATAATTGTTGCAGTGAATATATTAAATGTACAAAAATGAGAAATTATAAATGATTGCCACTAACTTTTTTACAGTGTGCTTTAGAATCATAAGCAGAAATTATATTCTTGCCTTACTAGGGATTTACTGGTTAATTTTTATATTGTACAGAAACTTGTTTTGAAAACGTTCTTCGCATCAGGCAGTAGCCTTTACTCAGAACAGGATGGTACTCCTGTACCTCTCTGTTCTTTGCATCAGGCAGTAGTCTTTATTCAGAACAGGATGGTACTCCTGTACCTCTCTCAGCCTTTTAAGCCAGATTTCTGGTGAGTAAGGACACAAGTTGGGTGGGTTTTTTTAAGCTTTTCCTATTTGTAAATTTAGAAAACTTGGCTGATACTGAATTAAGTTAGAAAATGCTGCTTTACCTAGAAGGCTATAAATCATTCTTTGTAAAGCGTTGGCTCGGTGTTACTCTTGTCTAAATACTTCCTGCATCAAACACTGTGGAGGGTAGAAGAGGTGGCCAAGAAAAGACGTATTCTTCTGGGGAGAGAGTCAAAGATCAAAAAAACCAACCCCCAAAACCTCAGATTGGAAAGCCAGAGCGCTTTTGTGACTAATAAATAGAAGGATTGGTAGTAGATGATGGAGGAATGGTAACTGATCCAGTTTAAACTGTGTCTCTATTATATTTTCGTTAACGTTTTCAACATGTCCTTAACTTTCTTACTACGTTCTTTTCTAAAACCTTTAATCCTGCAGCTGCAGTCCTGCACTCAGCCTGTACGTGCTGCTCGGCATCCGAGTCTGCCCCTCCGGGGGGGCGAGCACTGTCGGAGGGAACCGAGCTCCTTGTCCTTCGACTCTACCGAGTACTGCACTGTAGTACTGACCTCCAACACTAAACCTACAGTTCTTTGAGGAGAAAGTAAACTTACCAGATTAGTATACTAACAATATCATTATGTTATAGTATATTACCTGTCCGTTTTTTACAAATGCAAAGTAACATCCGTATGTATACGCATTAATCGTATGACCAGGGTCATACTTCTTTCGATCACTTGTATTTTGTACTTCTCTTTCTAAAAAGTTTGTCATCTTTCTGAAAGAAATGCATAAAGTATGTGGCTGACACTGATACTGCAA